TTACTATATATATATATATATATATATATATATATATTTACTATTATCTATGCGGAACGAAATATCGAATAAATTAAACTATCATTTAGAAAAACCTTATGAATTATACGAGAGTGCCTCGATATATTTAAATACGAAAAATTGTATTTCAGCCATAAAATCTGCAGTGAGAAGAATATCCGATGAATCCGGGACAGCTTGTATCCGCGCATATTTCAAACGTAACAAACATGTACGCGTATACCTGTAATTGAAATGTCATCGTATTTAGAAAATAATAACGCGTATTATACGACGATGATGCGACACTTCACTTTTTCAATAACATGTTTAAATAGAACATACATCTGGCTGAATTAAACGATCAAATATTTTCCGTTGCCTTCATTATATAAAACGTATACATACGTTTTGACGTTTGCGTAACTCTTCTAGTAACATCAACTTTTTTTTTTTAACTCACCTAACTTCGAATCCCGAAACCAAATATTAATTAACGGACAATAAATTATTATACCATGCTACACAGAGTAGTAGTAGAATGGTAGCTTTTTCTCTGAAATTCGCCGAGCGAAGGACTAAGTTATCCGCTTGTTCCGCTTTCCTGTTAATTCTGCCGCTCATCAGCAACTTCTCTCTGCACTTTATCCCTCTACATTTTTCTCTCAAATTTTTTTCGTGCAGATTAACGCAGATAACGATTTACCTATTCCACATTGTCACATTACTACATATTCAATATCAAATTTAATAATCTATTTTTATATTTGGATTATATTTTATAATCTTTTGAAATAGGTAATTACCTAAAAAAAAATTTGCGCTGTTTTTAAAAAGAGACGACATTGTAAAAAAATATTATAAAATTAGTATGCATTGAACAAACACGTATATTCGATAATCTATTTTATTAATTGATTTATATGTTATATGTTATATTTTATGCATTATTTTATGCACATAGTAGATTACATTAAATTCCATTAAATTGTTTGAATAAATTATTTCAAAGCGCGATAAATTTTTCCGTCTCTTCATGTTTATTTATAAATCTATTTGCCCATCTCCCGTTCAATTCTCTTTTTCTTCTCTCTTACCGAACATTTGCGAGATAAATTTATAACTTTAGTCACACTGTCACACCGTTTTCATCTTACCGCGATCCAAGCCTGTCGCGGTTAGCCGAATTACACGGACAGTTAATTCGCCGACAAAACTCTCCTTTGAATCCTACCAACGTAGCTGGTAGCAATTCCATCCTCGCGCTCCTATAAAACCGCGAGCAAATAACGCGGATCACTGCCGGCTGCGGAAAAAGATCTTTGGCTTTCGCGTTCTCTACGAAATAATTTGTTTAACCACAATACAAGGGAAAACAAAATTTGGATTTGAGAATCAGGAGAATACAAATATAAAAAGGATATGACATATCAAAACCATTAAATTGGAAATTTAATATTTTCTACTTTTAAAATGCAAAAATTTCCATATATCAATTATCCAAATATTTCGAGCGTGAAGCATCGAAATATATCAAAAATGAGCTTTAGTACAGTAGTAAACCGTATAGTAGGAAATATCCAAAAAAAAATTTCAATTTAGTAAATGTGTTCTATAAGAGCTTAGGATCGGTATTTATAAAATCGGTATTAATATTACTGCGTACGTTTTTACAATTTGTCACGTGCCAATTTTAATTGGCTTGTTGTTAAATATGCACGTTAAATATGACTATATTGATTTATATGCTGACAGATTGTTGTTTTATTATTTATTTTCTTATAATGATTATTGAAAATAATTACAATTTTTATATAAGAAAATTTCGTATTTAGAGATCTTCTGTCTTTATATCTTTAGAGAGATTTTTTTTCATTAATTTCTACTATTTTTTTTTTATTAAAAGAGAATTCCTCTTACTTTTTATCTTTTAACAATTTTTATATTTCTAACATTAGATTATACAAACAATACATCAAAATTTTAAATTTTATATATATGTTTGTATGTGCTGTGTCTACTTTTATACAGTGTATAAAATTTTTAAGTAAATAAATACTCACATACATAAATTTTTTATTTATAATACAGTTTTCGACAAAACTGTATTAATGATGCAATTAATTGCTGACAGGAGATTCCACGCAATTAGACTTGGATGGCTTATTATACATCGGTGGTGTAGGTGCACCCTTTGCACCCTTAACTGTCCCGCCCGTTCTGTGGACGGGCGCTCTTCGACAAGGCTACGTGGGTTGCCTAAGAGATCTTGTCATTAATGGACAACCAATAGACATCGCGGGATACGCACAACAACAGGATTCAGGTAAATCAAATTTTAATTTTTTTTTCCTCAAATGATTTGAAATTATTCAAAAAATCTTTGTCAAAGATGATGGTGTCTAACTAACTGGGAACAATAAGATTATATGATAGATATACAGTTAAATTATTGTTTTTAGAATATTTATTTATTTAAGATTAATATATTTGTGTAATATATTTATGTAAAATTTATATAGCTTATTATTAATGAAAACAAATATAACATCTTTAAATTAATATTTAAATTAATAGAACATGTTTACTCGAGCACAGATGTAAAATAGATCAAGGAATAACATAATTAAAAATAACAATCAAACCATAGTTATTGGTTGTTAAAACCAAATATTGTTCCATACTGCACGAGATAACCATGTTTATTAACTATTTGTTACTAAAAATATCCTGCGGCGTGCGGTATTACTAATATTTATACACGACGAGTAGAGGCACGATTTTTTTTATACTATTGGGAAAAAATTTGTTATGTAGCGAATTCAACGTTTGGTAAACGTGATATCTGATTGTTATATTTCTTCTGCATTTTTCGATTAAATATACAATCAATATATTTAATTATTATATAAAATTAAAAACGTTTTTAAAATGCATGAGGGAAATTAATTTTTATGCAAAAACTTTTAAATAGAAAATTTTTGGATTAGTCACATAAATGTGATTATTTTTTAGTTTGATACAAAAAAATGATAGGCATAAAATAATAATTGATAACAACATATGTTTAATTCTAAAAAGTTTTTAATTCAAAAGACGAACAGATGACGATAGTATGAGTAATGATAATTTTAATTGTCATTTCAGATTTTTGTATTGAATAAACTAAAAATTTTTAAATATTTCTCGATGTATGCATTTACAGGTGCAGTAAGACCAGCATGTCACATTCAACCCCCACATTGTCCTTCTCAGCCGTGTATGCACGGTGGCCATTGCCTCGAAGGGTGGAATCGATTTCATTGCGATTGCACTGGCACACCTTTCACAGGACCCACTTGTGGCAAAGGTAAAAAGATATAATTTTTTTAATTATAAATAAAGTTTTATAAAATGAATCGATATCTAAAAGTAGAAGAACAACTTTTCTGACAGTAAAACTTGAAACGTAATTGTTAAAATCCGACAAGTTCGAGACATTTGTCTCAAAGTCAAATAAGCTCCGCGAGTTCTTATTATCTGTAAGTTTTTTAATAAGTTATTGCATCTTATTATTATAGATGCGTCGACGCTACATCTGAACGGCACACAACAAATGTCGGCATTGATGCCGGAGGACTCCAGAACACAGGCGGAGGAGGTCATCGTACGATTCAAAACGACAAGACCGCGCGGGCTTCTATTAGCGACTAGCTTAGAAAACAGCGCCGATCGCTTGCAGATCTATCTAGATGAGGGCAAGGCGCAAATGGTAATTCACATCGGAGATCGAGAGAAGGTAAGATTACAGAATTTAGCCACTGTATGCAAAAGATAAGGAAATCACTTCTAAGTCGGAAAGGAAATCGTTCTAAATCGTCAATAATAAACACATATCTTTTTTAAAACCTGTAACTAATTTTTAGATATTATTAAACGCAAGAATTTTAATTATGATGATTTTAGTCGGATTAATTAACGTTTCATCTTTTTCGGTAATTATCGTGGCCGATTAGCTTATAATTTATTATTAATTAATGTGACCGGATATTACGAAATCTTTTTTTACTTCTTTTTTTGTAAACGCTGCGTTTTATAAGAATCGTTATTTAAACAAATCTCAAATAAGAACACAAGAAAGGACAAGATATTGGATTTATCTCGGACAAATTCGATCCACTTAATGTCAACGAGCATCCGCTCCGAAGTTAAAGGACGCTCGCGTGGTCCATGAGGATTTACATTCCCGAAGCATCCCCGATGTTGAACGTCGTCCCGATATAGTTGACGTAGATCGTTCTCCCGTTGCGAACGTCGTCATGACGTTAACTTAATACGTCACCCGCAGCAACATCCGCCAAGTAAACGGCTGGCGTCTCTCATCTCCATGTAACGAAATATTCTTTTTGACGGAAATGTTGGACGCATAAAGCATATTTCCGGCAATTGCTCCCGAAGCGTAGAATAACGCGCAATGGTTTTCATGCTTTGTTATATTAATCCTTTTGGGATGATATAACAGAAAAGACAATAAGGAACTAAACACAATGTATGTATATTGCCTATTTAAGATTTATAAACTTCAACAACTTTCTTTAAAAACAAAAGTGTTTGCTTCGCGATAGCTAAGACTAATAATTTAAAATAAAGGTACATGAAATAAAGTAATTGAATAATTTTAATAATTATTATGAATACGCGCTAAATCGAAAAGTCTTATGCAACTAGTGCAAGCTTTGCGAAATTTTTAAAAATTAATAAAATTATTATTTCAAGGTCGCGAGGAACATTTCTGTGCTGCTCCATCGATCGTTTTCCCGGGAGCCAAATGCGTTTCTGAATGCATCCTGCAACCTCTCGTTCACGCAATCTCCAATCCTCCATCCCTCCCTTGTACCTCTGACCCCATCCGCGTATACATAAGCAAAATACATAAGCAATTCTGCAATCGCGACACTTCCGGTCGAACGAGTAGTAAATCGCCCGACTCGATTTCACAGCTATCTCATTAGATGATGCGTAAATGTATAATTTATTTTCTTTCTTCTCTTTTTCTCCCTTACCTTCTTCCTCTTTTTTCCTTTGCGTTTACATTTGCAAATAAGATACATCGAATGTTATACGTTATATTACCAACAATTTGATTGATTCATTCACACACACAAAAAAAAAAAAACAAAAGAGGATATAAAGGAATCAGACATTATATGTAGTTATATAGATCGACTAAATGATACGATTAAAATTTAAATAACGTATGATTAAAGCAAACATCTGTTTTTACACTTCTAATAACAATTGAATAAAATTGTAGACATGACGTCAATTACAGATCATCTAGGACAAGCGTTGCGCAGAATTAATCTCGGGAAGCATGCGACCTGCCCCATTATTATTGCGGATATTAAAATAGATATTGCGTTAATCTGAATGAACAACTCTTGGGTCGAGGTCAGATTTGGAGAACTCTCTCGTGCGCGCGTGGATGAGGAGCGAATGTGCAGATCTACACGTCTACATCGTACACGCGTATAAGCGCGAGCGTACAAGGCGCACGGTAATTTACGGTAATGTTTCAATCTCTGTACCTACACGGACTCGTTAATTGGACGGAATAATTGATACGATAATGCGGAGCTCGACGATTAGTCTACGGAAAACCGGATTTCCGCGAAGTTCCTGGGAAGTTCGAGAACGACGATTTCAACGAAGATTTCTATCTCGCGGCCGGCTTCAAACCGCGAGCTTTTCTCGACCGCGAGATTATCCCCCGATTTTCGATAATTTATTAATCCCTTTCACTGGCGGAGGCAAAAAATTGTATAAATTATAATGATAAGGAAGGTACTTTTTATCATCAATCGAGGCATTATTGTAATACGTTAATTACAAAAAATTATTACCACCTTTAGCCAACTATTCCATTTATCCATTTCTATTCTGTTTCGATTTGAATTATTTTATTCGACTTTGTTCATTCCATCCGCGTTAAAAAAAAAGGAATAAAAATTTACAGGTGCATTGTTTCTATCCCGTTTATTAAAACAGTTATTTAATGACACAGTTATTTTTAATAACATTAATAAATTTAAATATTGTTTATGAAATCTACTCTGATAATACTACTCTTTTATCAGTAATTTTATTTGGTTTTTCAATCTGCATGTATTAGCATACATTAGAGATATATCACAACGTTTTACATTATATGAAATTGTATTTATCACTTGATACATAGCTTGATTTTTAATAAATTTAAATCTAGAAAAGTTTAAAATAGTATACAAAATAGTTCGATAAATTTACTCATAAATATTCCGACAAATTTATTATCGATTCCTCCTGCGTGGAAGTTTGTGAACAACCTAGTTTTAAGCTTGTCCATTAAATATAGAGGAAATATTTATAACGATAGTTGATTTAGCGAATTAAAGGATCGGCTAGTACTTGCGATAATAGTAATGGTCGATGGCAATAGCAACGATGCATAGATGACGTTAGATGACAAACGTGCGTCAGGTGTCATACGACGTATGATATCGTATATTGCAATGGGGACTATGCCAGATAGTGACGAGTTGCTTGGATTTATGGGATTTTGCCGAATGACAGGCATCTCATAGAGGTAGTTTATCGATAGCGTTAAACCTATTGCGACACGATGACGCTGTCGGTCGATGACGCTATCGCAAAAATACGATAAAAACTGGAGATTTCACAGTGCCACTATTGAGACCGACTTTGTTTCTAAAGTAAATTCTTAGTAAAGTAGAAAAAAAAGGTATTTTTTATATAATAGAAATATTAACTTTTTTCGATAACAATCTTACAATTATTTTAAACATTTTTTTTCTTGTAAAACCGATAAAACATGATATTTATATTTATTAAAAAAGAAGAGGAAGCCTTTTTAAACAAAGCAAGCGATCGATTTAATAAGTTATTTTTTTCTTTCAGTCATTGGTGGCTGGGCAAGGACTTAATGATGACATGTGGCATACACTGAGGTTCTCCAGGCGATCCAATTCGCTCAAATTCCAGGTCGACGATGAAGCGGCAATACGAGGTATGTATATACATCTGAAATGATATCGTGCGATAGCTATCAAAATATTGTATACCAGAGAGAGGTATACACTTTATTAAAACCAACAAATTACAATGCATATACAATGCAAATTTTTATGGAAGAAGATCCTAAAACTCATAAAGCTGTTTATTGATGCGGAATGTGTGCGTTTTATATAGGGTATTAAAATTAATGATAATATCGAGAAAAATGAATAATTGTGCAAGATAAATTGAAAATTTAAAATAAATTTCTTTTACATTGTCGATTTTATTTTCAACAAAATTGGAAAATTAATTGATGTCTCTACCGTACAACTCAAACTAACTTTAAACTTGAATAAACCTAGATATTTTAAAATTAGAAAACTTTTACTATAAATCATTGAACGCATTTTTCGACAGCGTGCACATTTACACAATTTTTTAGACAGACAAATATTCCAAAATTCTCAAAAAAATTAAATCAATGTAAACATATTGTGTATTTTTATCACTAAAACCAATTTATGAGACAGTTAATGTAAGAAAACATTAAAGCATTAAAAATTAAAGAAAAATCAATTAATTTAGACACGAACCACATTATTATCGAGAACGAGATGTCGTGCAAAGTGCAGCAAATTGTACGTCGGTACCAGATGCAAAACAGTTGATTGGTTTCGTGCAGGAGCAGTGCAAGTGGTATCTTCGATCGTAAAATGCGAGAAATAGTGAGAACAAAAAGCCAATTCTATTTCAGAATACGGACGATAGGAAAAGAGATAAACAAAGATAAAAAATGCCAAAGTACATATCAGTGCTCATCCCCTTCCCCAATAGTGCGAAAAAGAAATTTTCACATTACATTTTTCACATTACATTTTTCATATTAGATTGAATAAAAAAATTAAAGTTTTACTTTTTAATTTAGTATTAATTATTAATTAAGTAAAAAATTATTGATAATAATTGAGGCTCTGTATAGAAAATAAATAAAATATGTGAACAAAGAACTTTGACTCGAATAGTTCTTTGTTCACATTCTTGATTTATTAATTAATTGTTTTATTTTTATTACAAATTATATTATAAGACGATGTATTGTTTTAATAAATATCAAGAATGATAATGCTTTAAATGTCTCTTAAATGTCAATGTTACATTTATTAAAATAGAATTTCATAAAATGTTCGCAGACACGTAAGCGCATTTAATTGACGTTCCTATATGGACGCTCGAAATATGGATAATAGCAGTTTTTGCTCTTGTCGTAACCCATAGACTACTTTCTCGTAGTTAAAGCTTTTATACGCGGTTTAAAGTCGTCTCGTAATTAAACCTGAATTCATAATGGGCGTAAAAGCGAACTATCCTTTGGGAAAATTAGTTACCGTATTATCTTTCTACGATATTGTAGTCCTTTAGGAAACATTTCTCAATTTAAAAACAATAAGTTATAAGCGTAAAATGGAACTAATGCTTTATTCTTACTTATTCAACAGATATTCAAGAACTTGGTTATTTTTAAAACCGAAGTACTTTATTACTTTTAAAAGTAAAATTATAACGGATGTAATAAGGATAAAGAAACTTTTATGATTGAAGTATTGATATATTATCAGAACAGCGTAATGACTTTCGTTTTAAAATATGAAACAAATAATCGTTTTGTCCCAAACAAAAAATCAAAAAGCTATTCATTCGAGATTGCTTATACTTCGTGTTTTTATTTTGCTCCCATTTTTTACTTCATGCTTTTACCACGCAGGATATGCTTTCTCTCTTTATCTCTTTCTTCCTCGTATCATGCTTTTACCTTCAAAATAATTGCTTCCTTTCCTATCTTTCGCAAAGAGCATTTGCTTCACCTTTTTTTCACATTGCAGTGAAATAAAAGTCTATAACGCAAATAATTATTTCAAACATTAAAATGTTTGAAATTTTTGTTACTTTTGTTTTTGAAATTATATAGTTTTATAATTATATAGCTTTAGAATCGTAAAAAAAGCATTATTTTAAAATCGACTGATTTAAATTTACGTAGTTTTTAGTTAAACTAGTTAAAACTTAATAAAAAAATAAAAAAGATTTGAAAATATATCTCTTTTTTTATATGTTACAAATTGCAATCTTTCCGAGCGTTTCTAAAACAAAAATTAAAGTTGCTTCTTTTATGAGAGAAAACTGGTTTCAAAATTAATCAACAAATAAACAATTTCAAGAAAAAAGCGTTTTACATGAAATAATCTATATTATAATTAAAAAATTTTATATTGATGAAATTAATCGAAAGAATTATTATACGGACACGCAGTAATTTATTTGTGATAAATCTTATACGGCGCGTTGTAGTACGGCAAGTTTCGAGGAGGGAAGTTTCCTTCTCGTGATATTTCGAAGCGGGGAGAGGGAGGGGGGGGGGACACTTTGCACGTCGCATCGATTGCACCAGTTCGAAGGATCCTTATGCATCGTATGCATGCGCACGTTCGAACTTCTCGCCACAAGGCGAGAGACCACGCAAGGGAGCAATATCGTATTTCGAAATCCCTATTTAGCATAAATATGTGGCGGCGGCCGCCGCGGAAACTTCGCGGCGGAAGTGAGAAAAAAGTCGAGGAGAAATGTATAGAGATATAAGGACACACGCGGAAATATGGAAAGTAAAGTCGACAGGTGTGTGGGAAGGATCGCGTTTAACACATTTCAGAATATAATACAAGTATGATGATTCGCGATATAAATCTTATACAACAAGCTTAAGGAGAAGAAAAAATTGTTGACGGAAATTCAGGCAAAATACATGAAATACAAACAACTTTTCCTAAAAAAATTGCATATCTGACTTTCCGGTATTCCGTTCTCTTTAATTTTCCACGCCACTTCGATTAAGATTTACTTTTAAGATTTACTCAACATGTTTACAGCACTCGAAGTATATACCTTTCATATCACACGACGTCAACAACCTTATCAGACTCTCCAACGTATCCTTAATCAATTCTAAAACAGGTTTCCTCATAAAAAAGTAAAATCCGAATGTTCGCGCGTAGAAAGATAAGCAAACAACGATAGATGCGAATGCCGATCTTAATTATCTCGCGGCAGAGTTATGGCGTTCTCGAAATTGGAAAACGGAAATATTCAGTTGGAGCCGAAATACGTGTGTATACTCGGTGGGAAAGCGAGGACTACTAGGAGAGAAGAAAGAAGGGAGAGAGAGAGAGAGAGAGAGAGAGAGAGAGAGAGAGAGAGAGAAGAG